CATCTTCACCATCTTCATCATCTTCACCATATTCATCATCATCTTCATCATCTTTATCATCATCTTCATCATATTCATCATCATCTTCATCATATTTATCATCATCTTCATCACCATCTTCATCATCTTCATCGCCATCTTCATCACCATCTTCATCATCTTTATCATATTCATCATTATATTTTATGATCATCTTCTTCATCATCTTTATCATCATCTTCATCATCTTTATCATATTTATCATCATCTTCCTCATCATCTTCATCACCATCTTTATCATATTCATCCTCATCTTCCTCATCATATTTATCATCTTCAGCATCTTTATCATCATCTTCAGCATCTTTATAATATTTATCATCACCTTCCTCATCATCTTCATCACCATCTTTATCATTTTGATCATCATTTTCTTTATCTTCGTCTTTATCATCTGTAATTTCGCCATGCTTGATTGTGTGATGACATTGAAGGCATTCTATTCTATTCTATATTCATCGTCACCATCTTCTTTATCTTCATCATCTTCCTCATCATCAACATCTTTATTATCTTCCTCATCTTCATCATTATCTTTTTTATCTTCATCTTTATCATCGTCATCTTCTTCTTCCTCATCTTTATCCTCTTCATTAACTTTGTCCTCTCACCTCTTCATCATCTTTATCTTCGTCATCCTCTGTGTTGTATATATCTATTAGTGTTTGTTCATACTGATCATTAAAGTTTTAAAATAACTACTTTTCTAATCAAAGTCTCAGTAAACATATGTAAGTGTCCTCATATGAAACACATACTGTGAATATGAATAGAACCTCTGTGACCTTGTCTTGTTTCCTTGTATTTAATATTATAATACTTAATAATATACTCCACTGGAGAACAATATAAACTAAAACAGTAAAGGACTAAAAACTGGCCCAGACACACGTCCAGATATATTCGCTAATGATCCAGGACTCACATTAGATAATATTTTACTTCACACTTATCAAAGAGACCAAATCGGTGAAGGAATCTGGGGCTTTGGGGGGGCCTCAGGGTTTGGGGGGCCCCTCATGGTTTGGGGCCCCTGAGTAGTTGAGGACTTTGCATGGAAACAATACCAGGTTTGATCCTTAGTAACACAGTGTGGAAAGAAAAACATCAGGTGCTGGTGAAACGTTTCTATTCGATCATGTGACTGTTTAAAATACCAACAAATGAAACTAGGTGGTGTAAAACCTACTGGAACAATACATCCCTCTTCTGGTAAACATCCCCTTACAAAAATAATCCTGGTAAATGATAATAAAAGATTAATAAATAAAAAAAGTAATAACTAAAGTAAATCATGATAAACGTCCACGTCCTTAATAACACTGTTTATCGAAGGAAGTGGAAATGAGTAAACTTTGTTTCTGCATCATTCAATAAAGTATTTTGAATGAATTGAAATGAGTTGAAGTAAAGAGACTAAAAGTAAAGCAAAGTGACACGAGTTGAAAAGAAGTGAATTGAAGTGAATTGAAGTAAAGTAAAGTAAAGTAAAGTAAAGTAAAGTAAAGCCAAGCCAAGTCAAGTCAGGCAAAGTAAACTAAAGTAAAGCAAAGTGAATTAAAGTAAAGTAAAGTAAAGTAAAGTAAAGTAAAGTAAAGTAAAGTAAAGTAAAGTAAAGTAATCATTCAATCAAATTATATTTGTATAGCCCATACTCACAAATCACAATTTGTCTCATAGAGTGTAAGGTAACATTAAAGCTAAGCTAAGCAAAGTAAACTGTTAATTGAATTGAACTTGTTTTATTTTGATATCATTTTACTTTATAAACCCACCGGAAGTGTCGCGCTCCCCTCACAGCTCAGGTCGCTTCACAGAAAACACTGACAGCGGTGTGACGTCACTCTGGAGCCTGTCCCCGGCTCGCTGTCACCGCGGAACACAGACGAACCTCCGGGCAGAACCAGGGAACCACGGAGGAGAACCAGAGCACCAGGGAGGAGAACCAGAGCACCAGGGAGGAGAACCAGAGCACCAGGGAGGAGAACCAGAGCACCACGGGAATCATAGGATCAAAGGAGAACCAGAGAACCAGAGAGGAGAACCATAAACCGTAGGATCCCAGGATCCCAGAGGAGAACCAGAGAGGAGAAGCTCATAGACATGCGATGACCCGGAGTCAGGTCTCATCGTGTTCTCCTCTCCCCGCAGCCCGTCGGTGAACTCACGGGAGCCGCAGAAGCAACTCCTCCACGACCTACGCCGCCCCGGCAGACCGCTGCTAGCTAAGTGGCTAACTAGCCTGTGAGTAAAGTGAAACCAGTGAGGACAGAGAGACTCCTCATGGCCTCGATCCTGTTCACCAGGTCCCGGGCACCTCTAATGAAAACGTCCCGGTCTTTAAAGAACGAGTTCCGCAAAGGTAACGATGAGCTGAATGTGTTTGTTTGTTTGTTTGTTTGTTTGTTTGTTTGTTTGTTGTGGAGCGCCTGTGTTTGTTTTGATGACATTGAGCTAACCTAGCTTCGGTGTTGTTAGCATGCGGAGGTGTCACGTCTCCCCCGGTCAGCGCGGATGTTCCCAGGTTACCGGGGCAGGTAACTGGACCGAACGGGACCCTGTCATTCATTCGTTCAATCCACAAATCAATCACCGACCCGCGTCGGTCGGTGCTGCCGCGGGTCCGTCGGGGGGTTTTAAGGTCGTCGTCGTCGCCGCGCGTGAAACAGCGGTTTAAGGCCTCGCGGTTTTGACGGTGAGGAGCCAAACATGATTTGGGATTCAGGTTATCTGAGGACAGCCATCTTCTGTTCAGCCCCCCCC